GGAGGAAAGGGGGAGGACGTAAACCACCGTTGGCATGACACGCGCATGTGTTAGGCCCTGCTCCTGCAGGCGCAGGCTGTCCCGTACTGCAGTAAGGCGATATTCACACATGTTTCATTTATCCAATGGTTCAAGTGACGTATGACCCTTAAAACACTTAGCGTGTACTGCAGTACTGCAGGCGGTGTATGCCGTTGTCGTACCGCAAGTTGTAAGGTGGAGGGAGAGGGGGGTTGAGTGATTGGGGGGACTTAGGGTTGTCTAAACAATATAAGAAATGCCTGAATGCACGTGTGTATGTATGTGCAAATGAACCGGACCCTCTGCTTGGCTATTATGTGGAAACATGAACGCATACAAGGGAGAGGAGTGTGTGTGTGTGTAGAGAGAGGATGCGGGATTTCCTGGATCACGCATCAACTTCGTGTACGACCACCCAGGTGGGGCCGGGGGCAAAGGAGCCTGCAGGGCATGTCCTGTAATGCCCTGCAGTACAGTACCCGCAGGATCATCACCCCCCGGGCTACTAGGCCTAGGCTGGGGGGGGTATCTGGCCGAATACAAAGAAGCTCACGAGTGGGTGAGAGGAGGTAGCCGCCTGACCCCGGACCCTGGGGAGCTGTGTTGAGCCAGATCGTGAAGGTTTGGTCTCGTGCGTTGCACCAATTGTCTTAACTAGGACTAGCAGCACTCTATGTTCCCGGAGCTCGGGGCACGGCTTATTGTATCTGCATGCTAACTAGGCTGGTAGTCCCTACCGTCAAACAACCCGTTTCCCTGAGGACTCACAAACTTGTTTGCCAAGGACCCGACAATCAGCAACTTCAGGTTTGACATCCTTTTCTGGCTTTAACTGTGTGCTGGAGAGCTGAGGCTATATCGCCGGGGAGGCTCTTGGCCTCTTAATACCCACCGTGTTGAAGTGCACTGCGCTTGGTAAAGAGTGTTGCCAACGAGAGCCTCTCTGCAACATCTATTACTACTAGTAGTACTACATAAACGAGGGAAAAGTACCATTGCCTTTATGTTAAAAAGCCAGCAGCAAGGGGCGGCAGGAAGCCCAGCCAGTGCAGTCAGCACCACCTGCTGAGGCAACAGTCCTCGAACTGCCTTTTCATCCTGTGCCAGCAGGCACCCACTCCTGCCATTCTTTGTCGTACATGCGACCACACACACATGTAGAGACATGGAGCCGGTGCAGGCTCTGACAGCTCCGCGGCATTACTTGCATGTCCACTTGACACATCTAATCTGCCGCAATAATCAGCAAGCTCCATTTCGGTGCAGGGTGAACAACCCCTTGTTCTAGGCCATGCAACAAGAAGGGGGGAAGTCATTCCCATTAGTGGAGCAACAAGCCCAACGTTCAACATCCCGTGTTTATTTATTCGAGGACTGCTGCAAATGTGGCGATCATTACGAGAAGAGGCCCAACATTACTGGCCTTGCTGCTGCTGCTGCTGCAGCTGATGCCTCTTGAGGGCCTCCTCCTCTTCTTCCATGTCCTTTGTCTCTTGCTCTGAGGCCATCATCTCCCGCTCCATGTCCTTCAACTTCTGACTCCTATCCAGATCTACCATACAGGCCTTCACCCACTCGTCCGCCAGCGTTCTAAGTGCATCACTGCCCCGCTCCACCTGAGCTGCGACCTGGGAGATGTCTACACCAGGGTACAGCACGTTGTGTATGCGGGCGAAAACCTGCAGGGCCAAGGGGATGTCGGGGGAAAGTTCAGTAGCTGGCTGCCGAAAAGGCTTCTTGGTGGAGATGCTGGAAGCATACTTCAGTGTGCATATATTCACCGAGTGTATGCCGCACTGTATGATAGGCCACCCCTGTTAAACAACTGCCTTCACCAGGCCCATACGTTGCAGCATATCAACTCGAAACACTTTTATCTATGCAACCAAATTACAACCAAATTTGTTGGAACATTTTCATGAAGTACAGCTCCTATCCTCACGAATTGTGCCTCTAAAAGCCCCAGGAAGACGACATCCGGAACACACAACATCCATCACATGCATCCCACTATGCAGCCGAGGCCCCTATCTGTAAAAGGACTGCCCTCCAAAGTTCGGCCTCACCGTAGCCTTTGGACTCCCGCCAATGATGAATGGATACAGGAGGAGACAGGAGAAGTATTTGCATGCAAAGAGGCGGAACCGGTAACCACATGCCCGGAACTCGTTCCGAGTGGGCCGGGGAAGTCCTTGTTCGCTGATCTCTCCAACCAGCTGCACAGAGGCGAAATACCATTTTTCAGCATTCGTGAGCAGCACCGTCACCGGATCTTTCTTGCCATTCAGGATCGCCAGCTCTTTAGCTGTTGCCATGGGCTGCCATATGTCGTATTTAAAGAGTGTAAGCTTAACCGGCTCCACCAGCATCACTGCCTTGTAGCCTTTCTCCATAGCTGTCTCCAGATTGACATTCCGTGATGCCCTCATTTCCGGGGGTGCACGGAGGACAACAAGCTGCGGACGACCTGCAGGATCCCATCACATGAACAAAACGACACATGACAAGCTCGACCTGGAAGCCAGAGGTTAAACACGAAATATGCCAGCAGCCAGGAACTTCCTAGCCTCCGTCTGACATGGGTAACACCAGCGCTCCTTCAACACCAGCAATTAATACTCCATATTCAAGAAGGGGAATGTCTCCTGTTGCTCATCCGGGTCCGCCCATGGAGGGTCCGTTTCACAAGTTTTACACTAAAGCAATGGAATGCTAAAGCTGCGGCTGGCAGAGGTTAAGGCCTGACTTCTGCTCCCGGCCCACCCGAGTTTAAATCCGCCTGCCGGCCCCTCGGGTGTTTGAGGAGTGTTGAAATGGGAGGTGGCCCCCCATCATATGGACGATGTAGGACGTGATAAAATCAACTTGCGAGCTGACCAGAAACTAAGTTGATGCGCCGTTGACCCGCTAGATTTGGTTGGATGCTGGTGGTGAGTTGCCGAACCCAACGAATACATTCTGAAGTCGGATGGGGTGACGCAATAGGGTGCATCTCTAGCAGGGGAGAGCAGGGACTGCCCGGGAAAGGGGCCGCTGGCGAAGTTAACCACCCTGTAACAACATACTAAAGCAATGGAATGCTAAACTACCAAACTCTGTGAGGAAGAGTACATGTCCCGCGAGCCGGGCAGGTTGTAGGAGTGGCATCAGCATGATTTGCAGGTGGCGGATTGCCCAGCCACGAATGGCACGGCTGCACCATTTGCCTACCCTAAGGCATCTCATCTCCAGGCATGGGTTAGCTTGCACCGAGCCGCTTATTGAGATGCAGATAGGCTTAAATAATAAATATAAGATAAATCGGTGATTTGGTGATGGGATCACCCCCTAGTAAGGGAACGCGTATGGCGTGGCTCGCTCACACCGGGGCTGCCTTGTCGCAGCTTTTGTATCTAATGCAATCCACAACTCGAATGGAGAAACCTCTATTTGCGGGGGCGTGAGCTGCATATTACTTTGGCCGAGGCCCCACCTAGCCATCAGCAGTTAAGAGGTTTCAGGCTCGGTTTTCAGCGCAGGCGAACGGAGGAGGACGACCATGTCCCATTGCTAGGCACCAAAAAACACGATTGCCCATGACAACCCCGTCTGTCACGAACACCCCCCTTATGCGAAGCTTGTAACTTGGAATGGACTGCTGAAAACCTAAAAGCGCAGAGGTTGCAACTATGCTCATGGACTGGGTTCATTCGCACAGCCTAGCCAGTCTACATCCCAGTTTGCACCCTGCCATGCAGGCAGCTGCCTGCAGGTGGCACTCACCGTACGGCGCAGATTTCCTGTATTCCTCCGCCCACTCCTGTTCTCCTTCATCGGATGAGGTCTCTTCAAACAGATCCGCGTCCAGATGTGCAGACTCGTCGGCAAATGGATCATCAGTGCCTGAGGACCAAGAAAATGGCGTTAGGAAGCACGATAGTGCAAAATTGAAGGCGGCAATAAACAGGCCCCCACCGGCTGGCAAGATGACCAGTGATCCTGGGTATAAACTTAGCAGCGCCAGTTTGGACAGGATTGTGTAGAGGAGGAGGTAGGGGGGCTCGTCCCGATCGCATGGACGGAAAACGGTTTTGTCGAACATAGCTATGGTCTCGCTAAGGAACTCCACAAGGAACTTCAGACCAGCAGTATCATATGTTTTTCGAACTCGGTCGGCGAAGACAGAACTTGCGTCAAACATGCTGCTCTCAAAAAAGGGAAAATTTCGGGAAACTTCCATGGCTGATCGAAAGGCGTCCTCGCTTGTCATGCGATTGATTCCGACACGTGAGATCTTTTCGCTTTTCTGGCATGCGAGCTCGCTCTCGCTAGGCCTGTTGCTCATGGCGTCTTTAGCATAACTGAAGCGCTACCCGGCGCAAAAACTGTCAAACGTCTTGTAATTCCAAAACATCAACACACAACCTGATGATTTTATGCGCAATCGGCTTGGTACGACCTTGTATAGCGTAACGGATAACTGTAACCTAACCGTGAAAATGCACGTTTGCCGAGACCAGGACACCGGGAGCAGGCCTACTGGAGATCTCGCAAGGAAGCGATAAGATACTTCGCTATAATCTTATTGCTTGGCCATGAGGTTTGAGCGGCACATCTATGCTACATGCACACCAACGAAGCGACTTGCATTTGCGACCGGGCATCGCCATCCTGCACGGCTCAGGGACCATTGTCTGAATGGACGTTGGTGGGCAATCGTGGGGAACATCGCTTGGCGGGTGCCCTGATGGTCGGAGTAGTATCACTTTCGCTAGCGGAAAAGAGTTGATCCTCCGGCTTCACCAGACGGGGCCCCCCCGGTGTCACTCTATCCGCTTTAATGTCGCCGCCGCCGTGCTCCTTTATATCATCACCACTGTGTGTGTGTCGGGGCAAGAACGGCCTTCAGTTTCAGTTTCCGGGACGCTTGCATGGCACTCTGAACACACGGCAGCCAGGCTTCCGCATACATGTCAAAAAGGCACGACCAATTGCCCCCGGGATCGATACCTGTCAGGGTCGAAAATTCTTCCCATGGTGGAGGTAAATGTGCCCCTCGTCGATCGATGGTGGTGACCTGGGATAAAGTTGTCTTGTGAGCCGAACAGGAATGGAGTTGGGCCGCCGTCGATCTGGCAGATTCCGTTGGATGCTGGTGGTGGGTGCGGAGCCTGAGCGATCCACTGAGAAGTTGACTAGGGTGACTGGATGAGGGTGCCCCGAAATACCGGAGAAGGCAGGGTTTCGCAGGGTAGCTGCCACGGGTGAAGATATGCCCCCCTGTTCCACACATCATATATGCACAACTGTTACTTGTTTGTATAAACGTGGAGTACACAAAACCTTGGGATCCTTTAAGGCTTTGTGCAAAGTGGGAGGATACTTTTGCGTGCCAGCGAGCCCTGAGACTGTGGGGACTGTATGTTTTCGACGTCCGTGGCCAAAAATGCGACGAGTTATGCCGTGGTAAAGTTAAGAGCAACTGCAATTTTCGCATAACATGATATGGCGTGTGAAACGGAGAACCCTACCAAGCACCCCCCCCCCTTTGCAAGGCGGTGCGGGCGGCAGCCAAGCGCTCCCCCCCCTGGGGACGACTACGGTGCGGCGTGGTGCAAGGAACCTTTGACCCCTCAGGTGGTGGGTGATAGCTGTGGCTCACCTTTCGGCATCCAAAGGAGCCCCGATGTGGCTGGTCATTACAGCACTGTGCTTCGCTGCCTTCCTGCGTTATGATGACTCGGGGGGCATGTTGGCATGGTTGTGATGTGCAGTTCCATGAGGAGGAGTTCCATGAGGTGGCGATTTTCCTTGCCAAGCACAAGATCGATCAGTTCCGGGAAGGCACCGTGGCATGTGTCGCGAGGGGCGGCAGGGAGGCCCGCCCGATGAGCCTTCTAGCGCGGTATCTGCGCCTATCTGGTCTGAAGAGGACGGAACCGCTGTTCCAGGGTTTGGATGGCCAGGCGGCTCGGAGCGGGAAGTGGCCGAACCATGGAGGCCACGCTATCAGCTATGCACAGGCACGCTATCATGTGCCAAGTGCCGTACCAAAGGTGTTGGGCATTAGCTACACGCAAGCGCAATCAGTGTTCAGGCTGCACAGCCGTCGCTTAGGGGTGCGACACCAACTGTGGCAGCGGAGCAGGGTGTCAACGAGCGTTCCTTTTCAGGGCCCAGGGGGCCCTGGCGCTCGCGTGAAGCCATGCTGGTGTACTTGGCCGACAGTGTAGGTGGATGGTGTGGGTGGTGTGATGAGGGGAACAACGTCCCCCTCGTGGTTGATTTGATTGGGCTTCGTAAATGCCTAATAATCGTCACCTGATTTAAACAGGAGTATTGGTCGTGGGGAGGCGGAAGGGGACCGAAGAAGCTATAGCTGTGTGGGAGACTTATCCTGTACTGCAGTACTGCAGGCGGTTGATATGCCATTGTCATACGGCGAATTGGAGGGTGGAGGGAGAGAGTGTACGACCACCCAGGTGGGGCCGGGGGGCGAAGGACCCTGCAGGGCATGTCCTATAATGCCCTGCCGTACAGTAACCGCAGATCATCACCCCGAGGCGCTCACCCCGGGCTACTAGGCCTTTTAGGCTGGGGGTGGTATCTGGCCGAATATAAAGCCCACGAGTGGGTGCGACTCACAAATTCAGTAAACGGAAAAATACTCCCCCTCCCCTTCCCCGGTAAGCATGATGCAAATTAATGCAAGGGACCAACTTCAAGCGGGGACGGGAGCAAACCTCAACTCGCTGCCTTGACGCCATGGCGGCTTGCTTGCCTAGGGGTGTGTGGCCATGACAGGGCAGGTGGGCTCTGCCCTTTACAGGTGTGCGAGGAGGGAGCCGCCCGGCCCCGGACCCCGGGGAGCTGTGTTGAGCGGCCGACAGGTGAGGCCCTGGGGGGATGTGCCGATGTTCCGAGTTGTGTAGTTGCGCGTCCACGAGCTTGCGGTGGATGGGGCGGCGGCGTTTTTGTCTCCACCGGCAGCTGCAGATTGCACAACACCTTGCCACCTCCGAGATACACACACATGCGCGTGTATGTATGTATGTATGTATGTATGTATGTATGTATGTATGTATGTATGTATGTTGTTACAAGGCGGTATAGCTTCGCCAGCGGCCCCCTTTCCCGAAGCAGTTCCTTGTTCTCCCCTGCTAGAGGGGCACCCTAATCCGTCACCCCATCCGACTTCAGAATGTATTCGTTGGGTTCAGCAACTCACCACCAGCATCCAACCAAATCTAGCGGATCAATGGCGCCTCAACTTGCTTCCTGGTCAGCTCGCAAGTTGATATAATCACGTCCTACACCGTCCACAAGATGGGGGCCCACCTCCCAATCCAACACCCCTCAAACACCCGAGGAGTCGGCAGGCGGATTTGAACCCGGAAACTCCGGGAGCAGAAGCCAGGCCTTAACCTCTGCCAGCAGCCTGCCTACATACATACATACATGTATATAGGGGCTGGATGGAGTGGCTGCGGAGTGGCTGCGTAGAGTTTTGGCAGTCTGAGTCGGGGTCGGGAGCACACAAGACTAACCGACTTGGGCTGTGTGCTCCCGACCCTTGCGCTGTGTTTCGGCTTCGGCCCCCGGCTCTCGCGGCCCACAGTGTAATCTAAGTCATACATGTATGTATGTATGTGTGTGTGCACATGTGCGTAGTGTTGTGAAGTACGTGCTACAGAAGCTGCTGGCTTGGTTTCACTTACCCAGCTAAACCAACCTCCTATCGCTACCGCTCGGTGCAGATGCGAGTGGAGGTGGACGAGCAGGGCAGGCATGCTGACACAGCGCACAGCGAGGAAGAACCCCGTCTGCCCCAACATTTTGAAACATACATACATACATACATACATGAAGGGAGAGAGTGTTCCCGGAGCAGCAGTCCCCCCTCACAGAATTGCGTCACACAGCAGCACTGCACAACCAACCCCCGACCCCACCGTGGTCTAACGAGGCCAAACCACGGACGTCCCCTCCCCCGGCGCGACTGTCTAATACCCTTAGTATGTAGGACGTCCACCATTTCTCACTAAACCAAGCGGTGAGACCCCTCATACATCATCTTTCCATTTTTCCTTTTCTGTCTGTCTGTCTGTCTGTCCGTGCACGTGTCCATGACGACCCCCACCAACGGGTGAAGCGACCGAAGCCACTGCTGGCCCCTCCACGGCATATCTCATTGCCGGTTTTTTGCCCACTGCCGCCTCTCCGCGCAACTGAGCGTGCTGGTGTAGACCTGCTACCGCTACTGCCACTGCTACCGTCGGTTCCGGTGGTCCCTCTGGACCTCGGTGCTGCTGCCCTTGTTGAAACCCTCCCCCGGCACTCGCCCCTCCCCTCCCCCCTCCCCCTCTTCCGCCGCCTCCGCCTCCGCCACCGACCTCCTCATGGAGGCACTGCTCTTGGTCAGCAGAGATGGCTTGTCCACCGCCAGGGCACGAGCCTGAACAAGTCCCGCCGTACCAGTGTGTACGAATGTGTATGTGCCGGGGGTTGGGCGGGTGAGTGGATCCGACCCGGGGCTGAAGGGGGCCTTGGAAACCCAGGGGCCGAACCCGGGCCACACCACACCACACAGGGGGCTACCGGGGGTACGAGAGCAGCATGCGAATGAGCGCCCTCATACGACACCCCGGGAGTGTATGTGGGGGGAGGGAACTATACGTTCACATTGTGCGCCACCCGTATGACCACAAATGAGAAAAACTCAACCACATGCAGCAGAAGCGTGAACCCGTATATTCGCTCCTCGCCGAACACAAAGACACGCACACATACGTACATGGAACATACATACATACATACACTCGCCTCGGTCCAATCACAACGTACACACAGCGTCACTCGAGAGCCCCCCTCCCCCCCGGCCCCGTTACCATATTCACCTTGCTCATGTTCAGCTGTGCGAGTTCAGCCAGGGTGCGCAGCCTCTCCTCCAGCACCGACCCCGGGGTCACCAGCAACACCGGGTGCTCGGAAGCCACCACCGCCGCTCGGTCCGCGGGTATCTGTACGGCACGCGCGAATGTATGAATGTATGTATGTACGTATGTATGGTGGGGTTAAGGGGGCGAGAAAGCTGGGAGGAATCAGGCGGGGTCACAGATTTCTGAAGCCTAATCCCCCTCCCACACGTACATACATACATGTACACTCACATGCTGAAGAGGGAGGGCACCATCTGCGACACATGTAGAAGTAGACCCCCACCGGCTAACCGAACCGGCTAACCGAACCGGCTAACCGAATCAATTAACCGGGCCCCACAAACACAAACACACATATGCCCCACCTGCAGCAGCACCGCCAGCTCCTTCAACCTCCTCTCCACCTCCGCCTCCTCCGACAACAGCAACCGAGGCGCGTTGAGCACCACTCTACCCAGCGCCCCGCCCCCGGGCAGCCCCAGTAGCCGGGCCGTATTCCGGAGCCGGGTGCGCATGGTTTCGGAGGGAAGCAGCAGTGCGCGAGGCTGGCGGCGGAATACGGCAACTGCCTGCGGTTAGTTTAGTTTGTTGGGGTTGGGTTCGTTGTTTTTGGTTACGGGTATGGGCCGGGGAAAGGGAAGTGGAGAGGCGCTTTGAGGCGGGGTACATGAGACTGGGCGTATGTTGGACGAATGGGCGGTTCACCACATACGACTTTGTGGTGGCGGAGAAGATGAAGAAGGCGCGGATTCAGGAGGTCGAGGAGGAGGAGGAGGAGGAGGAAAAGGATGTGGAGGGGAAAGGGTAAAAACACACACCAGGAATCTTCCGGTGGAAATATTAATTAACGAAAGACATTATTGCAGCAATTGCTCAGGATTATGGGTTATGGGTTATGGTACCCACATACACACATAACCTCTTCCGTTCCTCCCTGCCGTACAGCACGTACACATGCCGTACCTGCTGCTTCGTCAGCCTCAGCTCCTCTGTCAGTGCGGCCGCCCGCCCGCTCAGCTCCCCCCCGTTAACCGCCAACAACCCGGGGTGGTGCGTGGCCAGTACGGCAACCAGTGAGGGGTCCGTGTTGAATACGGAACACAAACCCGACAACCGCGACCGCAGCACGTCCGGGGAGTGGGTTAGGAGCCCGGGTTGGGAGGCTACCACGCGCCGGGCCAGGGAGGTGGGGAGGGAGAGAAGAGACTGCGAGGTGGCAGAATACGACAGGTCAGGGATTAGGGTCTTAGGTTAGGGGGGGAAAGGACATCCGGGTTCGCGGATGTGTGAGGGATGAGTGTGGGGAGGGGACGTCTCCTAAGGCACGGGGGTAGTGGGTTCTCTTTTTGGTATGTATGTATGTATGTATGTATGTATGTATGTGTGTATGTATGTATAAAACGGACCCACATGGTGTGGGTGCGAAGAGTGCGTCCTAAGGTGCGTACGTGCATTCGTGGGTCAATTCCAGCCGTGCCTAATGATGCGGCATAATTACTCTATCATACGGTTAATAGGCCTGGAACCTAGTTCACTACATACACCTAGTTTACTGCATACAGCGAGTCAAACTTCGCCCCCCCCCCCTCGCTTCCCCCTCAGTTTTTGATCCCCTAAAGGGGAACTTTAGGCGGCATAATTAGGCGGCTAAACAATACAATGAAGAGGAGGGGTATTGTTCGCAGGGTCCTCTCTCACCTGAAGCTCCACGAAACGCTCCCGCAGCTCCGGCGCCGAAACCAGCAGTACACGAGGCTGCCGTACCACCAGCCGTCCCAACTGCCGCTGCCGTACATCCCCTTCCCCACCAAACCCGCCGACTCCTCCCGCTCCCGCCCCCGATCCTGTTCCGAATAGCCCCAGCAGCTGCCCCAGCATCTCAATTGATTGGGTGGCCGACCCACGGGTCAGTCGGCCCAGCTCCCGCTGCGAAGCTATAAGGGCTTTTGCCTCCGCAGGGGACATCCCCAGCAGCAGCGCTAAGTCCGGAGCCTGGGGCCCGGGGAGTGATCCGGCGAAGAGGAGAGATCAGGAGGATGAGGAGGAGGAAGGGGAGGAGGGGGGCGGATAAGTAGCAGCAGCAACAACAGCAGCATGGGAAAGGGGAAGGAGCGCCCAGGCCCAGGGTGAGAGGTTGGTTGTGGTGGGATTGCCCGCCCACCCACTACCACCCACTACCACCCAGCCAGCCACTAGCACCCACCAAGGTGGAGTCAGCAAGAGAGGGAAAGCCTCATGCGGCCCTTGGGACCTAAGACGGCTCGTGGGGTGGCTGACTGGCGGGGGGGGTCACACGCATCAGGTGGATACCTGGAGCCGAGCCTTCATGTTGGGAGGTTTTCCATCGCCCGCGCCACCCGCCGCCGGGGCTGGTGCCGAGGAAGAGCCCGGGGGCGCGGCCCGCGCCGCCAGCTCCTCCGAAACCTCACGCATCGTCCGTACATCCGGTGCCGCTGCGAGGTGTCGTACAGCGTCCATTCTTGCAGCGGCGACAGCGGAACTTGTAACGCCGTTGGGAAGCTCCGCCGCCAGCGCCGCTGGGAGTGCTAGGAATGAGGCTTCAAGGCGCATAACGTTTTCGTGTAGAGGAGGTGGCAAGGGCGAAGGTGGTGGGGAACGCTGGGCATCGAGAAGTGGCTGTGGCGGCGCGAGAAAGGAGGGCAGGAGGACGCATGCAGAGGCTGCGGTAGCTAGCACGGCTCGCCAGGTGGTAGCGGCGGAAGACTGCGGTGAAAAACTGTGGGTGGTGCAGTCGCTGGAATGCTCACTTGTCGCAACCCGGCCGCTGGAACTTGCGGCATCTGAGTCCATGGAGTTAGTCACAAACAAGAATACAAGATAGTCAATCGTGTGGCATGATGCGCGACTGGAAATCTGCTGTGGCGGAGGTGCGAACTACCTGTCGATGAAGGGTTCTGGTCGCCACAGCGACCGACAGCTTTCGCTCTTGCTTTTGTTTGCGACTGGGATAATCGTTGCAAGGTGAAATGCGTGACCCGTTGCACTCCATGGGCCTCATTCCAAAGTTGTCCTCCTGCCGCCGAACAAGACTGAGAACGTTGTCGATACGTATTCATGTTCTTGTGTTACCCTTTTTGACTGTTAAACTCTACTCTTTGAGCTACATGTCTGTTGCCAGCTGCATGCTGGAGGCCGTGCTGGGCAAAGTCTCTCACTGTTGAAACCGTTGGGACGATCAAATTCGCTGACCAAGACCAAGAAATGTCCGGGCCTCCGGGACAACAAACTGCCGCACATGGCAACTTTTGCTCTTTATCCTTGTACGGTTATATGTACTACAGGAACCTCCAGAAAGTCACAGTGCAAGTCCTCCAACATTTCAGCGCCGTCGTCGACAGCCCGCGTTGCGCTGCGCTCCTTCCAATCACCTCTTTAAGCTGCTCGCACATCAATCTTTTCGCTTTAGCCTCGCAACTTGTTGTCGTTCGAAAACTGCTTGCACAAGGTGGCGTGGCCGAAGGCCACGCCCTGCGCTTGGCCCAACCTCGTCCCAGCTCCAGCCCCTTCGGAGCCTGGCGCATGTGGGCAGACTTTACTGCTGCCACGGGTCGGTGCCCTGCTCTAGCGGCAGCCGGGCGCTCAGCCCCGGGGGGACTCCCATCCCGACCATCAGCACTGCGGAAGGTCCACGAGACGCCGCAGCCCGTACCTCGCACATCTCAAGCTATACACGACGCTGCCAGCGGCAATAATCGCAGCAACAAGAACGCCCTCGCCGCTGCCGCCCAACCCCGGCACCCCCCCGGCACCGATACACCCCGGGCCCCGCCACAACGGCCCCCACCGCCTCAGCCATCTAGGGGACCACCCAGGCCGGCAGGGGACTTCCAATCTCAACAAAGCTTCCCGTACAAGAAAGAAACGCGCCAGCCAGCCACACGTGCACGGTACAGCGACACGGCTAGCACGGATGGCCGTGAAGCGTACGGCAGCAGCACCCGTACGGCAGTCCTTCCTAGCTCATCTCAGGGCCCCGACCTTCCCGAGGTAGGAGCCGAAAGGCGGGGGGGAGCAGGTGTACGGGGGTGTGCAGGATAGGGGTGTGGGTTGCCGTACTGGCCCGGGGTTTTAGAGAACATCCAGCCAGTCAGGCAGCCAGCCAGCCGGGAAATGGCCTTTGACAGGATGCAGGAGCTCGACTCACCTAGCCAAGTCTCTGTCCAAGGGGGTTGCAGGAGACGCAGTTTCGGTTTTGTAGTTTTGAGGAAGGACCCGTACACGCCCGTACACGACCCTGGAAGACACCTACACCCTAAGCCCCATTCGCCCGGAGGACTCTGATCCCCTAATCAAGTTATTTCCGTTCGGCTTTTTGCAAATGTGTATTTGTTTTCCCCCCCTCACCCTCCCCTCCGATTCCGATTCCCCCCGCACCCCTCCGTGTGGTCTGTTGCCAGGTGCACTTCATCAGCTCCGCCTCCAATAACTACGTAAAGCACCTGGTGCGGTTGCGGAGCAATGTGTCGTACCGGCGGGAAGTACGGCGAGGGCTGCTGGTGGGGGCGGAGCTGCTGCAGGAAGTGGCAGGTGAGGCGGAGGGATGGGGAGAGTGAGCGTGCCGCGGTGTTGCAATGACACAGCTGTCTCCAGGAGGAGTGGAGGGGACGCCGCCGTTGACCCGGAACGGATTCCACAGATGGGGTTGGGGTTGGGGGTGGTGATGGTGGAGGTGATGGGTTGATCAAACCATGGTTGTCATTGACTTGGCAGAAGTCGGGCGCAGATGGGCGATGAGAAGGATGAGGGTGCCCGCCCGCAAACCACGGGGGGGAGTAGGAACTGCCAGCAGGCTGTTACACGCGGTTGGAACAGCTATATCCCCCTACTTCGCACAGTTGTACACCTATCTCCCTCCTTTCCTCCCCTCCCCCCCCATCCCCCACCCCAAGGTGACTCCCCCTCTCCCCTGCACGTGCGGGTTTTGCTGCTCCCGGAGGGAGCTCCCCCCCTCCCCCCGGGCACCCGCGTGGTGGCGGACCGAGTACTTGAGGTCTCTGAGGCAGTCATGAAGAAGGTTGGGGAGTGGTTCGGAGGGGGATGGGGATGGGTGGGAGCTATAAATTATAATCAGCAGCAGTAGCAGCAGCACATACTACGGCAACACAACAGAGGAAATAGAATGAGCGGGATATTGTTTGTATATATGAATGTATGTATGTATGGGTGGGAGGGGGAGGGGGGGGGAGGGTTCGGCAGGATAAATCCATGGTCCCGGGCCCCCCCCCCCAAACATGTACCTCCACACCACCACTGCATCACACCATCGCGAATGCTGCCAAGACACAGGGCTGGCAGGATGTGTGGGTGGATGAACGAACGCAATTTCGTATTGATATAATTGATAAATGTGTAATGTGTCCATGCATGCAATGTCCGCATACGCATGTGCACTGGCGTGCAGGTGAGCGGAGTGATGAGTGCGGCTGGGGTGGAGGCGATTGCGGAGGTGGATCTGCCCGCGGAGAAGACCCTCCGCCAGCTGCTCCAGGAGCTGCGGGTGCTGGGAGGCCGGGAGAAGGGGAGGGGGAGGGGGCCACCTATAGCGACCGCAACACCAACACCGACATCCACACCACCAACACCAACTGCACCCGTAATAGCAGCAGGACATGAAAGCAACAACAATAACAACAACAAGAACCGACTACATATGACAACATCAACTACCAACAGCACAGCTAAACAGGCAACCGCGCCCGCTGCCGTACGGTTGCTCGTCCTCGACGCCGTACAAGACCCTGGCAACCTGGGCAGCTTGGCTCGCTCTGCTCTTGCATTCGGCTGGGATGGGTTGTTCCTATTGCCTGGGTGCTGCGACCCGTTCAACGATAAGGCCCTCCGCAGCAGCCGGGGGGCGCTGCTGCGCCTGCCGACGGTGACAGGGGACCTGGTCGAGCTTCTAGAGGTAGCGGAGGAGGTGGGGCTGGTGCTGCTGTGTGCGGATATGGAGGAGGAGGAGGAAGTTGAGGAGGAGGCGGACGTGAAGGGAGGGGAGTATGGGAGGGAAGAGGAGTCCGGGGACCTCTTGACGGTGCTGCATCAACAGGGTCGTGATGCTGCTGTTAGTCGTATTGCTGGTGGTTATGGTAGTTATGGTGGCTGCGCTGAAGGAGTTGGTGCGGTTGGCATGGAACCGGGGTGGAGAGGGTTGTGCCGCTCCAGGGCGGCTGCTGAAGAGGAGGTGCCCGCCAGTCAGGGGGCTCCATGGGCCGGTGGTGTGGCGCTGGTGCTGGGCAGTGAGGGGGGGGGCCTGTCAGCAGATGTACGGCGGGTTTGCGCCCCCATCAGCGTGCCCATGGAAGGTGCTATGGAGTCTTTAAATGTGGGTGTGGCGGGGGGTGTGCTCATGTTCGCCATCAGCAGCGGTCCGCCGGTGCTGTTCAGGAAGCTGGCGACTCGGCTGGAGGCTGGTCGTCACCATGGTGGTGGCGGTGGCGGGAGTGGGAGTGGGGGCGGGGTTTGCGGGGGTGATGACAGCAGCGGTGGGGCCAGCGGCGCATAACAGCAGGAGCGGGAGCAGCAGGGCCCCATCTGTTTCTCGAGTGTTCATGTAAACATTTTGTTTGTAGTGGTACATTTTGGTGGTGACTGTGGGGGTGGTTGTGGGGGGTTCTAGCTGCACGGGAATGGTGAAGGGGATGGGGCGCGGGGGGAGCAGGAGGGGAAATAATAAGCTAACCTGGTAGCTGTGCGCCTAAATTGCAGATGATATCCTAGCTAGGGTCAGCCCAGTCCATTCATTCCGCAAACTGCTGCTGGTACATGTCATATGTAGCACAGCAGCAGCATGCAATGTTGTTACAGGATTGTCAGCTGCTCAGCCGAGCTATTATTCGTAGTGTAACTGTTCAGATCCGGTTGTGGGTGTGATTGGTTGATTGAGGATGGATGGGATGCATCCAGTCCAGAACCAGCAATTTCCCGCCTTTGTGCTAATAACGGCAATAAGGCGGCAGAATCGGTCCATCAGGAGTGCCTCACCGATGGCCACTCCAAAGTGGCACGGCCAGCAGCAAGGGGCGGCAGGAAGCCCAGCCAGTGAAGTCAGCACTACAGGCTGAGGCAACAGTCCTCAAACTGCCATGCGACCACACACACATGTAGAGACATGGCACGGGTGCAGGCTCTGACAGCTCCGCGGCATTACTTCATGTCCACTTGACACATCTAATCCGCCGCACTGCACCTCCAACATGCCAATTCCAAACGTATGTGGGTCAGCCAGCTCCATTTCAGTGCAGGGTGAACAACCCTTTCCTCCAGGCCATGCAACAAGAAGGGGGGGAAGACATTCCCATTAGTGGAGCAACAAGCCCAACGTTCAACATCCCGTGTTTATTTATTCGAGGACTGCTGCAAATGTGGCGATCATTACGAGAAGAGGCCCAACATTACTGGCCTTGCTGCTGCTGCTGCTGCAGCTGATGCCTCTTGAGGGCCTCCTCCTCTTCTTCCATGTCCTTCACCTCTTGCTCCGAAGCCATCATCTCCCGCTCCATGTCCTTCAGCTTCTGACTCCTATCCAGATCTACCATACAGGCCTTCACCCACTCGTCCGCCAGCGTTTTTAGTGCATCACTGCCCCGCTCCGCCCGAGCTGCGACCTGGGAAATGTCTACACCAGGGTACAGCACGTTGTGTATGCGGGCGAAAACCTGCAGGGCCAAGGGGATGTTGGGGGAAAGTTCAGTAGCTGGCTGCCGAAAAGGCCTCTTGGTGGAGATGCTGGAAGCATACTTCAGTGTGCATATATTCACCGAGTGTATGCCGCACTGTACGATAGGCCGTCCCTGTTAAACAACTGCCTTCACCGGGCAGGGGCCCGAAAAACGTTTGCAGCAAACCCGAAAAACGTTTTCAGTCCGTGCAACCAAATTAGAACCAAATTTGTTGGAACATTTTCATGAAGTACAGCTCCTATCGTCATGAAGCCCCAGGAAGACGACATCCGGAACACACAACATCCATCACATGCATCCCACTATGCAGCCGAGGCCCCTATTTGCCCTCCAAAGTTCGGCCTCACCGGAGGCAATGGACTCCCACCAGTGTAGGGAGACAGGAGGTCACAGAGGAAGTATTTGCAAGCAAAGAGGCGGAACCGGTAACCACATGCCCAGAACTCGTTTCGAGTGGGCCGGGGAAGTCCTTGTTCGCTGATCTCTCCAACCAGCTGCACAGAGGCGAAATACCACTCCCTTGTAACATTTGCGAGCAACACCGTCACCGGATCTTGCTTGCCATTCTGGATCGCCAGCTCTATAGCTGTTGCCATGGGCTGCCATATGTCATATCCAAAGAACAAGCAATTCACCTGCTCCACCAGCATCACTGCCTTGTAGCCTTTCTCCATGGCTGTCTCCAGATTGACATTCCGTGATGCCCTCATTTCCGGGGGTGCACGGAGGACAACAAGCTGCGGACGACCTGCAGGATCCCATCACATGCACAAAACGACACATGACAAGCTCGACCTGGAAGCCAGAGGTTAAACACGAAATATGCCAGCAGCCAGAGGACTTCCTAGCCCCCGTCTGACATGGGCAACACCAGCGCTCCTTCAACACCAGCAATTAATACTCCATATTCAAGAAGGGGAATGTCTCCTGCTGCTCATCAGGGTCCGCCCGTGGAGGGTCCGTTTCACAAGTTGTTCACTACAGCAATCGGATGCTAAACTACCAAACTCTGTGAGGAAGAGTACATGTGCCACGAGCCGGGCAGGTTGTAGGAGTGGCATCAGCATGATTTGCAGGTGGCGGATTGCCCAGCCACAATGGCATGGCAGCACCATTTGTTTACCCTGAGGCATCTCATCTCCAGGCATGGGTTAGCTCGCACCGAGCCGCTTATTGAGATGCAGATAGAATTATAATGAAGCATTTGGTTTCGTCGACCATAAAATGATGGTGATGGGATCAACCCCTAGTATGAAAACGCGGTTGGTGTGGCTTGCTCGCACCGGGGCTGTGGCTTTTGCATCTAGTGCAATCCACGACTCGAATGGAGAAACCTCTATTTGCGGGGGCGTGAGCTGCGTATTACTTTGGCCGAAGCCCCACCTAGCTGTCAGCAGTTAAGAGGTTTCAGGCTCGGTTTCCAGCGCAGGCGAACGGAGGAGGACGACCATGTCCCATTGCTAGGCACCAAAAAAACACGATTGCCCATGACACCCCCCTCTGTCGCGAACACCCCCGTTATGCGGAGCTTGTAACTTGGAATGGACTGCTGAAAACCTAAAAGCGCAGAGGTTGCAACTATGCTCATGGACTGGGCATAGCCTAGCCAGTCTACATCCCAGTTTCCACCCTGCCATGCGGGCAGCTGCCTGCAGGTGGCACTCACCGTACGGCGCAGATTTCCTGTATTCGTCCTCACACCGCTGTTCTTCTTCATCGGATGAGGTCTCTTCAAACAGATCAGCGGCCAGATGTGCAGACTCGTCGGCAAATGGATCATCAGTGCCTGAGGACCAAGAAAATGTCGTTAGAAAGCACGATAGTGCACATTGAAGGTGGCAATAAACAGGCCCCCACCGGCTGGCAAGATAACCAGTGATCCTGGGTCTGAATTTAGCAGTGCCAGTTTGGACAGGATTGCGTAGAGGAGGAGGTACTTGGGCTCGTCCCGAGCGTATGGACGGAGAACGATTTTGTCGAACATAGCTATGGTCTCGCTAAGGAACTCCACAAGGAACTTCAGACCAGCAGTATCATATGTTTTTCGAACTCGGTCGGCGAAGACAGAACTTGCGTCAAACATGCTGCTCTCATAAAAGGGAAAGTTTCGGGAAACTTCCATGACCGATTGAAAGGCGTCCTCGCTTGTTATGCGATTGATTCCGACACGTGGGATCTTTTCGCTTTTCTGGGATGCGAGCTCGCTCTCGCTAGGCCTGTTGCTCATGGCTCCTTTAACACAACTGAAGCGCTACCCGACGCAACTACTTTCAAATTCCTTGTTATCCTTAAAGATTAACACGCAACCAAACCCAAACCTGATGATTTTATGCGCAATCGGCCTGGTACGACCTTTCATAGCGTAACGGATAACTGTAACCTACCCGTGAAAATGCACGTTTGCTGAGACCGGGGCACCGGGAGCAGGCTAGCTGGAGATCTCGCAACGGAGCGGTAAGATACTTCTCTATAATCTGATTCCTTGGCCATGAGATTGGAGCGGCGGATCTATGCTACATGCACACCAACAAAGCGACTTGCATTTGCGACCGGGCATCGCCTTCCTTGACGGTTCAGGAAGCATTGTGCAAACAGAGATGCTGGTGGGCAATCGTGGGGAACATCGCTTGGGGGGTGGCCTGGTGGTCGGCGTAGTATCACTTTTGGCTTGACATCCGGGTTCAATGGCCACAACAGAATCAGGAATCAGTACCCATTACATCAGCTTACCGTAATGCCACGATATTTTGGTGACACGCAATGGGTATGGCGTCGCCAAGCGTGTATCAGTGGAAATAGCTCTATGGCAGATTTTTTTGCCCGTCGCCAAAATAAGTGTCATCACCAATATGCCGTACGTCAAATAGGGGGGTCCTTGTGAAGCAGCTGCCCGCGTTTCCAAAGCACGTATGGTGTTGGATTGTAAGGTGCCCAAGTACGTTTGCGAGGAAGAGAATGTGGCCAGGCTGGAGAGGAAAGTGCAGTGGCATATTGGAATGTGAGATTAGCGTAGGCGAGTTACAGGGCGTTTGGTGCACGGGCGAATTTATGTGCATACCTTTCACCGTAGCATCACTCCTCAGTTCACTTCTTGGAACGAACATCAGCATAGGTCCAAGCCCTCTCGCTTGGAGGAATATGCAAACAAACATCCTGATAGGGGTAAACTCGCACGCTACCGAGCATTCAACCGAGCACATGCATGCTTAGTTGAATAGTGAGATGCGACCCCCCCTTCATTTCGTGCCCGGCAAGCCTGCCACCTGTTGGCGATGTTACAGAGACGCTGCACCTTGATTTCTGTGCACAATGCGTACGATGCTCGACCCCGCCGACCAAAACTACACGTGCCCAACTGAAGACATTTCCGGTGGTTGTGCAGCAGCTCTTGAGGCTGTTGCTGGCTGAAATCCATCCTGAGCTGTTGCAACACGGCTAACGCGGGCACGTCCCTATGCACAGCAAATAGCTGTTCCAAGCCAACAGCGGCGTCCATGTCACCGGCGTAAACGTCTTATCTGTTCTTATGTTTAATTAAGTTTATGTATGTTATACTTTGCGCAACTATGTAATTTGAGTTTAGTCGGAACAATGTGCATTATGCGCTGCGCTACCGAAAGCAGGCGCCTTATGGCTTGCACACAACTGCTTCTTCGCCAAACGCTTCATCTTCCGCGGCAGTTTCACGAGCCCAGAGTTGCAAGCTACGACGTTGGCTTTCGGTGCTTTCAGTTACTGCAAAGCATCCACGCAATAGTCCAGCCTGCATGCGGCGTGCGGCTATGGCCAACATGCCCACCTGCGCAACGCGCTGGCGCACCTGGTCCGCCAAGAAAATTTATATACACTTGTACAGGCGCATTTTGAGAATCGCACGCGCGCATCTGCGCGGTAAAATTCGCTCCTGACTTTTGGGGCGACATGTACGAACTCCAGTGTTCGGGCCGAAACGTAAACCTGCCGAAACGTAAACCTGCCGAAACTAGTTTCGGTGTTTCCGGCGAAGAGGTCCTGGTTCTGCGGAAAGGCCGAAACTAGTTTCGGCCCCTTTCGGCTAGCGCCGTACGGCGGAACCTACTTTGAATAGTTTCAAAGTGTAGGCGCGTTGTGCAAGGCTGCGAAACTCTGCAAATGTTGAGTTTATCTTATCAATGTCTCAGACAACTTCCGTTGTCAGTGCAGACACAGATCCGGTCAAAAACAAGGGCGGAAGGACCGCTGATCAGACCGTTTGGGCTCACTTTGAGAAGAAAGAATATAATGCAAAGTGTAAGAACTGGACTATCATCTGCAAGTACTGCCGGACCGAGTCCAAGCAAGGGCGCCTTCAGGAGATGCGCGTCCATATCGCGCAAAAGTGCGCGGGACCCGTCCCGCCTGAGGTCCGGCACGAGCTGCAGGCAGTAGTGACCAAGGGCGCCTGCAGCGCCTCGACTCGGACACACATGAGCAGGTCCCATGAGGCGCAAAGGCACATAGGGCCCACGAACAGCGTTTGCATACCATGGACGTCATAAAATACAGCATTTTCAGGGTTTCGGCAGTTTCGGCAGTTTCGCGAGGTTTCGCAGAAGGGTCCAGAAATCGGAAACTATTTCGGCATTGGCAGTGAGGTTTCGGCCCGTACACTGACGAACTCTTTATTACGACCGGACACATTTGTGCGAGAGGCTGCTTAAACATGCAGAATACCGCTCAGAACAGGTCCGAATTCTCAATCTAAATCAGTTATGAGTTATATGTTATAGTTTTCCACTCAACAAAAGGCTTCCTGGCAAACTTTCCACGAGCGCGCTCCCATGGCACCCAAGAAGACGAAGCAAATGTTACTCGCAGTTCTACTGCCCAGGCTAGACCGCAATGCTCCTGCCAAAGTGTTTCATAGCAGATTTGCTTGAAGGGAGGTTTCGGGATTTGCGGTTCCACCCCTATCTGTGGCAGAGGGGACTTTTGCGGGTTTTGTAAGGGGGCCAGCTCTGTGGTGCCTAAAACCTGTTTTGTTTGGTTGACAGATTGACTTAGAGGGTAGGACAAACTGTCGGGCAGAGCAATTCTTTTGATGGAGACCCTCGAGACCAGCTGACACGAAGTCCAAATGACGCGGTATGTCCTTTCTTGCTTTGTGGCTTCCAACCATGCAAATGCGCCATGGTGCACTTGCAGCCATTCGCCTTCACTCGGGGTTTATTCAATTCTCTGCTGTGTCTATAGTCGGATGTCGCGGCTCTCGCGACGTGTCTCCACGATGTGCTGGACGGGGACGATGAACGGGTGGATGCTGTGCGTCGTCAATTCGAAGAAGTTCTCGGCGTCTACTCCGTTGGTGAAGCATGGGAACTGTTCCGAGGTGAGAGATTTAGATTGTTGATCACAGAGAGAAAAGCGCGAGTCCGTGCCAGAGACGTGGGGCGGCGATGTCCCCGTGCCATGCCGAGAACAACCGGAAACTTTGCGAACGGTGTTTTGAAAGACAATGTGCCCTTCATTGCAGAGGATTTCCAGCTCTCCCCGCTTCGCGCCGCCATGGCACTGAGAGGGAATGTACCGGGCCTTACCGTCTCGGACGCGAAATCCCTCTTGTTCAAGATCAAAACGGCATCGGAGGGGGCCGTGGAGGATCAGGGACACAGGGACGCGGAGACT